TCCTGAGAAATCTCTGTATTCTTTGAATTCAGATTAACGCAAAAAGGTACATGAATAAATAAGTGAATATCCTGAGCACAGCGTACGATAATTTGGAAAAATACAATTATGTTCAAAATTGAGAATTAGGATAGAAAACAAGGTGCAAAATATTATGTTTAAATTACAATAGCTTCGGAACAAAAAAGGGTATGGCAATGAATGATACATCGAAAGAAAGCTCATGCTCTGTAGAATAAAATAGGGACAAAAATAAATATCAGCGTTTTACAAGCTTTGAACAAAATGAAATGACGTCCCGAAAAATAGCTTTCGTAGTTTGTCAGGGTTTCTTGTTTCCCTGTTCACATCAGCACCTATTTAACATAAGTTTAATATTTCTTGGCACTTACCTCAATGATACTAATGATATTGAAATGTATACCGCCACAATAGATCAAGTCTGTATTTAATATTACAGCCATGGAAGTCACATCTAATCTGTTCACGATGCATATTAATCGACTAGATTTAAGTATATGAGATAAGTCCTAATATCACATAACATGAATTCGGTTGTTACAATTAGTTCTTAAATACTCAAATTCTGGTCAGTACTTCAGATAAGATTAGTAATTATCATCTAGTTTTTCTGATTTATAATTTAAGTATATCAGATTTTAAGAATGAAATTCATTTCCATACTAATCAGTCATGTAACTTATCTACCTGTCAATCGCAACAGATTGATGAATGAAATATTTATATACTACTGAAATATTTGCAAGTATAAATGTACGAAAAAGTAAATAGAAATTTTATAGTTGAATTCATAAGTCAATTGAATGATTGGCCATAATAAGAAACAGACCACAAATTACTTAAAAGTTTTCTATGATTAAATAATTAATTAAGCTTGAGATTTGTTTAGAAAAAAAAGAAGGAAAGTATAAACAAGTTAATATGAATAAATATCGAGTCCTCTTGTCATTGAGCGAGTGAATTGTCAACATCACTATTAAATAAGCTCTATAGTTGCTGCTATTTCATTAATATTTATGTAACTGATTAACAAATGGAATCAACATAATCAATACTCATATTAAATGGTCTTTCTTTATAGATGATTGTTTATACAGTTGGCAAACACCATGTAAAAACAATGTTGTGTAAAAACTTCGCTTACTTATGAGTAGTCAAATTCGTATGCGGAAAGATGGATTTGTATTGGATGGAATATCCCAACGGAAAACACAAGTTCTCTATTTGTGCTTCCACAGAGCCTAATGGTTTGTCCGTCTAAACGATTCTAAAAGATGTTTTTTGGTGGGAGAATTATGATCAAAATGGACAAGTTTCCGCATTCATCTATTGATTGATGTACGCTTTCCCTTTAAAACACAAATAAGGTAATATTCTCAAATGCATTTAGCAAAAGCTCTTTGTTCGAAAAATGTAACCCGTTCCAAAAGATCAAGTAAACTTATAGATGCACGTTAATAAAATTCAAGACAGAATTTTATCTCTGTTCTATTCATTAATCAAAGGCCATATGGAAGAGACAATATGAAGCTTAGAGTAGAAGAAATGTTATTTCCAATGATTTGGAAAACCGGCTTTTCAATATCTCAATGTTTACGAAGACAGTTTCCCTTTGATGATGTACTTATTTTCAGATACATTGAAATTTGGGCTTGTTTATCTGGGTTTTTTATCACTAGTTAAAAATATATTAGTTGATTGATGAAATGGAAAGATTTTTATTGATATACAATACAAATCTTTTTTAGCACACTATATCCATATAGTATTTTTAATTGTCATAACCGTTAACTCGGGTCACTTAATTTCTGAATACTATTTATAGATGACTGACTATGAATCGGTTGGAAAGGAAGTGATTTTAATAAGTTCACCCTAAGAAGGACGAATTATTTTCGTATCAGTGCATACTACTTAAACTATCAAGCTAATAAAATAGAAATTTTTTCATAAAATGGGGTTAGATTTTCACATTATCGAATATTATTAATTTGAAAAGTCTTCACTGTTAACTAATCTTAGCAATAAATATATTGAAAAGAAAAAAAAGGTTGAACTTCTTGTCTGTTTCGGATTTTAGAATTTCTTAACAGTGTACATTAACGATCCTAAATGAGATCAAATTAATGAGCTGTAAAGTACTCAATCGTCAAACGATTATTCCGTCGTTTACGTCTTCCAACATTATATTCACCACAAGACTTGACAGTCCTGTACCCACTGTCATGTGATATCCCATTTCCTAACTGCTGAAAATTTTTAGAGTAGGATGAATAAGTTATATTGTGCTCTTCTGAATTTCATTGGTGTTTCAGTCCATGGTGGTTTGTGATGGAAACTATCTTTAAGCCAATACAAATATTAACAAACTACTCAACTATATAATCTTAGTTATATACACATAGTTTGCTTTATCATCTTAAAGAGAGAAGATGGAAAGATTTGGGTAGAATAGTATGAATTCGTTTTATACCATAAGCTCAATTAATTATTTTTTATAGTGGCGCGCTGATCGAAAGTAAACGTAGATGCAACCGGATGGCGGGCCCAAAGTGACATTAAGCGTTCGTTGCGTATTTCACTGATGACCCTGTACCAAATAAGCTAAAAATGAACGTTTTGTTTTCTTAACTATATGTAAGTTATTCACTGTTCCCTATAAAACGATTAATTATTGTTTTCTATTTGTTATTAAACATTTAATCGCAATTCAGCATGACCTGAATAATTATCAAAAACTAGGAACTACTGAATATTTATTTCATCAAACTGAACACTTTCGTAGAAGTAACTATCTGAAATAAGGGAGGCATAACTGGGTTGCCTTTAGTAAGGGCATGGAATCTAAAAAGCAGCCTTATTAATTGTCGGAATGGTTGGATTAATAAACATTGATGCTTTTCGACAAGCATCTATTCTTATTACTAACTTTGTGAATATTTGTTTAGAGCATAATATACTAAAACTTCGGTGGAATATTTCGTTGGATGTTGGAAAATTCAATAGTTCTCAAAAATGTTATCCAAATCGATAAGGAGATTTTTTGAACAATGATTATTTTAAATCCTCAAACCTTGCACGTTCTGTTGAATCAAGCGGCATGAAACGGACACTCAGAATGGATACTTTTCATGGATATACTAAGACATCCTATAAATACCCGCTCTTGTTCCTATTTGTCATTGTTGTTTTGAATGGGAATGAGTATTTAGTTGTATTACGTTTTCTCAATAGTTGAGGTATGCATCAAGAGTTATTGGGGAAGTTGTATTGAGTTAAGCGATTGTCCGAGTCTGATACTGATATACATGCTTCCGATATGCGAGCCAAACCTGCTACCTAGGTAAAAAATTATCAAGGAGTAGCAAGATTATATATATATATATATATATATATATATATATATATATATCCTTCAGAAAATTGAAGTAGATTTGCGACTAATAGGGTACGTCAGATAACTATATAACCTATAATCTGCACCCACTTGCATCTTTCCTCCATCATTTGACCTTGAACTGATATACATGATTGATCCAGCCTGTCGAGTTAGTGTAAGTTGGATTGAGGAATATATTGTGTTGCATTAACTCTTGCATAGCTAGAGATTGGTCAAAACATTGATCAGTTTTATCATTATTTGGTTAGATCAAAGGTAATTTTTATAAAATCAATATTGTTTGAAAAAAGGATGTCTCATCATAACTTGAGGCTAATTAATCATTTGGCTGACTAAAACTATAAATACCAATGAAGATAACATTCAACTTTTATAACAGAATTCAATTTGTCTTGATGAAAACTGAATGTATCCATTCCTTATCATTTTTTTGTATACTGAAAAAGCATCGGTTGAACAATGACCAAATAAGATAGATCCTAATGCACAATTGATACATAATACAGTGTCATATATTTCTTTCAGAATAAAGATTCAATTCATTAAATAATTTAAGAAAACCAGTTGGTAAATCAATTTTTATTATGATTGTTACTTTTATTATTAATTGACTGTAATCAAACAACAAGATTAAGAGAAAATTCCTAATTCCATTCTTCATGCTGTTTGAATATGAAAATATACAAACAAACAAGCAAAGACCCCCCAACAATATCGAATAAAACAACCACAACAAAAAACAAACAAAAAGAAGAAGTTGTATAGAATAAGCGAAAAAATAAGCAAATAAATACAACTGATAAATGTATATCTATACATCTATGTATTATAAGCATACATGATTGTATAGAAAATTGAAATTTCCTGAGTTATATATTAAACATTAAACGAAGTGTTTAATGTTCGAAAAGAACTAACAACAATCAATATACATCAAGCGAATATGTATCATGATTAAATGTAATAAAATTAATACTGTACTTTTTATTATTACAAAGCCAATACAGTATATTACTAATATGTATATAATAAGTAATATTGTTATAATTTCATTAAACCACATTTGGAAATCTTAAAGAAATGAAATAAAATAGAGTTGTTGTTTTGTTTTGTTTTAACTTTGATAAGACTCCCTGTATGTTATATGTTTGTGCGATGATAATTTATTATATTTCCTTTAAAAAAGAAAAATAAATATCAAGAGACAATATGATTCTAGTGAATTTTTTTTCTTTAAAAAAGAAAAAAAAAGAGAAGATTCATTTTCAAAAACCAAAATCATTAACTTCAACACGAATTTTAATTTTACTAAAATTGAATTTCATTGATAAATCTTCACAACGTACTAAATGTCCTAAACTACCACGTCTTATAGCCCAATATGGTCGGTGAAAATGTTTACAACATAAACGTGCATAACGTTCAGTCCAATAATGTATATGTATAGAATCTGAAAATAAATGAATATTTTCATTACATAATAATGAAAGAAAATGAAAATCTGAATAATATAAATATGGTGAATAATTAACAGTTAATGTACGTATTTCACAATGTGTATCTTTAAATGCTGTATAAGCTAATAAACGTATATAATCAGCAAAAAAACATCGTCGACTTTCATCGACACCAGTTAAAAAAATATTTGGTTGTGTTGTTATACCCATATAAGATCCATTATTATTAAATAACCAAAATATATGTATAAAATTTTCATAGAAATAAATCATTTGTAATATTAATCCAGTTAAATTTAAAAAGCCTATACTTAATATAGACATATTTACAATAAAGGTTGTTTGTAACATACAAATAAATAATTTATTCGATAATTGATAATCATTAATTTGGCATAGAAATAATGGTGCAAATGGTGTACCTTTATAAATACCAATAATAATAAAAGTGAATAAAATAGTGCATCCATGAAATACTAATAAAACTATATGTTTAGTTATATATCTTGACCAATAGAAATCGGTATTTTGCCATGCAGCTAAATAAGTATTTAATGACCAATCTGCATGACATGCATGAAAACATGGTAAATCTAATAAACCTGGAGCTGATAAATCAGCATCACCAAAACTTATTGGTATAGCTGGTGAAAGTGTTGGACTATCAACAATACCACCACCAATACCACCATATCTAATTGTACCAATTGTTGTAGATTGTTGTTGTGCATGAATCACAGTTGGTACAGTTGTTTGTGATAGAGCTGATCCACCACCAAATGTTGCAGCAGTTGTACGTCCACTAGTTCCATCATTTTGTACACCATATCCTATTCCAGCATGAGGATAATATAAACCATTTTGACGTATTATAGGACCTGTTGGAATAGTTGATGTAGGCGATAGAAAAGTTCCAGTTGGTGCACCAACATCAGTTGATGCAGTTGCAAGTGTTTGTAAATAAGCAAGTTCTTGTGTAACAGCTCTTCTGAAACTATGTAATTCGGCACGTACCAAGCATAAATCACGTCTAGCAGTTCGATCTGTAGAGCGATGATATAAGTAATGAGGTATCCACATTGCTATTGCATATATAATTAAAACAAATGGATAACATTCATGCTGTAGACGAATAGTACTAATTTCTTTATTGGTTACTTCTGATTCAGAATGAATTTGACTTGAAGATTTAAAAGAATGTGGTAATCGTTTAACTGTTCCTTGCAGTACTTCCGTAGTCAGTTGTAGACCACATGCACGATCAATAAATGTATTTGTAATTGTGTAATAATCAAGTTTATTTTCTTTTGTATCTGGAAGACAACGAGTAACGCCCAGAAGAGCATGCAATAATAAGAGAACTAATGCTTGAATGACAGGGATACATACAGTTAAAATGAGTAAAATCCTATCAATCCAAAAGCTTGTTTTAAATCGTGAATACGTGGTGGCAACAACTCCAGCACTAGTATAAACATCCGGATTAGCATATACATTACGATCTTTAGATCCATGAAGAAATGGTATATCGATTGAAGCCATCAATTTATCATCAGAATGTTTCACGATATTTGATTTTTATTTGTGAACAATAAATGAATCTTTGAAATAGTCATTAGATTTGAAATATTCAGTAAATATACATTTATTGACCAAATGTCGAAGGCAATGTAGATAAGTCCCACATTCAAATAACTCAATTTTTGTTACCGAGAAAGTTCATGGAATCAATTATTCAGATAATATTAACAATGTTTCTCATGAAAACTTTTAACCGTGTTCTTTCAAATTATATTTAAGGAATCCTAACATAATTGAGATAATACAACTGTCATATAAACAGAAAATCCTAAAATGAATTAAGAGCACGTTATTTGTATGTCGTGTGTATTTTCCCTATCTTCAGATTCTTAAAATAGCTGGATTGGTGGAATCTATTTCATTGACCTCTATTTTGATTCGCCTATTATATTAGTTTACTAAAATTAACCAATCACATTAAAGATTGAAAATTAGTCAGCAAAACAAGTTATAAGACCTGAGTTAAATCCTGCATTAAAGACAATGATGGTTTTGCCATGGTCTAGCTTCAACTGACTCGTGATCTTAACCATTGAAATTACTATAATATCCACAAAACCCATCTGATATTAAATATATATTTATCGTATTTTTAATATAATAAATATATACAAATTAACATTATGGGGTTGTGGAGATTGTTAAGTTTCTGATTGACATCATGAATCGATGAATGGATACTCGGAGGCACTGAACGGCCGTTTCGTCCGTGTCAGATAGAGACAAATATCTATCACAGACAATGGAAGATGTCCGAGCAATTTCTGTAATTCGTTGAAGTTAAATATTAACACCGTTGGATGCTGGTTCAGTGATCTGGACCTGAAGCGTTCACGCGCAAGACCAGAGGTCTTGGGTCCAAATCTCACGTGCGTAATTTTGGATGCGCACTTCTGAGGAGTCTAATACTAGAACGAAACAGCCGTCCAGCGCTTCCGGGTTTTCAATGGTGGTCTAACATTGGTTGACTCATGATCTCAATCAAAAATCCAAATTAACTCTTGTAAAAAACATTATAATTGATATGAAAAATTAAATTTTGAAATTAGACCCCCATGAATTGATCTAATTAATTGCATTCTTTATAGTGTTAATAATTTTATGTTATTAAACTGATGTGATTATATCACTGGGAGAAAAAAATGAAATGAGACAGAAATAAGTCACTATCATCTCATAAAAATTCTTAAGTAATAATTAAGTTTAGAACTGGAATTGAATTTACGAAGCAACTAAATGATGCGTTATTATGTTAATAACTGCATATGTGAATTGAGTTTAATAGAAAAAATAATCAAATGAGCACTTGGATAATAATGAAATCGGTATAAAATTGATAGGCTAAGAGTAACTGTCCAAGCAAACAATTTAGTAAAGTCAAATGTTAGCGCAATAGTTTAAAAATACTACGGTTGTCATGACTCCTGAAAGTCATTTGATGAATTGTCGAGTGTGAAATTCTAAGGAATCTCAGATTAGAATGGGGCAGATTTTTTTTAAAAAGATGCTCAGTTAAATAAATTTATTAGCTTGCATATATTGTTGATTATTATGAGATAAAATAAAATGAATTCATTCTATTATTTTAAAACCTTATAATCTATTCTTACTTATTAGATTACACCTGTTATCCCTTGTGAAGGAGCATAGACCACTCATCAGTATGCTCTTATTATACATTAATTGTTCATAAATTAATTTTTGTAGAAAATATCTTTTACTAACTTGTTCTTACTCAATTTCCTTCTTTGTTTCAACATGAATTAGTCTAAGCATCAAATAAAACACAATATAAACAATGTAAATCAATTCACTCATACATAGAAATAAACAATTAAAAGTTGAAAAGTTGAAATGATAGGTCAATTGTAGCTAGACCACCATGGAAAATCTGGAAGCACTGGACGACCGTTTTGTTCTAGTATGGTTAAGCTCTCGCGCTCCAGACTGATAAGTCCTGGGTTCAAGTCTCGCGGGGGGCGAGATCGTGGATGCGCACTTCTGAGGATTCCTATACTAGGGCAATAGGGTTGTCCAGTGCTTCCAGGTTTTCCATGGTGGTCTAGCTTCAATTGACTCATGATTTCAACTATTGAAATTACTAAAATCTCCACAAAACCCTTCTGATAATTAAAATTTAGTATTTACGTACAATGAATTTAATAGAAAATAAAATTATCTATTTATTTGTACATTGAAAATTTGTCCAAAATCACAGAATATTATTGTCGATGGGAAATTTTATCGGTTTATTCTATGTATTTGTTAGATATGAGAATATAAGTAAACAATTAAACAGTCTGCCTATGTTGAATTATAAATAGAAAAATTAAATTGTATAAGTTTAACTTAAAATGACAGATTTTATTATTAATATTAGTATTAGTATTGGTATTATTATTAGTAGTAGTATCAGTATTAGTAGTATAGAACAAATTTTACACAGGAAATATAAATTTTCTGAAAATCATACCTCAGTGAAAAGTTACTTTAAACTTAATTATGCTTTACTATCAACCCAATTAAACAATTAACTATATATTCAATAATGATTAACTTTAAGAGAATTATTAATATTGTAATGAGAATCTGTAGTCACTAGAGATTATTATTATTGGCTTTATTCAATATTATATTTTTGGTACAATATAGAATTCTCACACAAAGCGTTTCAACAAGTTTCTTTTTCTTATTTCTTGATCAACCCTTGCGATAAATATTGAGTGGTAGCCAGTTAGATCTTAGCATTTCAGGAATCGACATCTGATTAATGTATATTCTTTTCGATGCACATTGATAACAACCACGATGTCTCTGACTAGACTCTTTTGTAACTTGTACAGTCGTAACCTTTTCACAAACGCAACTGAACAGGTTATGCGACTAATAGGCATAATAATGTGTTAAAACAAACAAAAAATCAGATGACTTGTAAAAATTTCCAGGAAACAGATAGCTCATATACTCAAGCAGGCCGCCTTGTTACAGATAATATCGATAGTACTAGTTGATGTTTATACTTTATAGCGAAGTCAGGAATAAAACAGGTGGAAGCCTTCTTATAGATCTACAGATAATTTATTCGAACAAGGACCGTATTCTATGGAGTTGATCTCGTCTAGGTTTCAGAAGCAAATTACTAAGCTATTCTAGAATACAGCCCAAAATTAACTATCAATTCTTAGTTTTTGATGATACGTTCATTGATTTCTTCACACAGAAGAAGTGAATTTCCTAATATAATATATTTATTTATTTGTGTTTTTATATTTGTCTTCTATCTACATAGAACAAAAAGGATAGGACAATCATTTTTTACATGAATGCCGATTAAAGTTTAAATATCTTAATGTGGAACCTAAAGGAATAGAACGACATATAAATTACCCGTATTCCTATATCCACCGAGATTTAAACAAGGCTTATAAAAATCCCACTCATCATATATATATATTCTCTGGTCTATTTTGGACAATATAAATGATATCGCTTTTCTATATAACCTGGAGGTTGAATCATAAAATTTCGTTGCGGGGGCGGAAAATAGTCAACAATAAAATGATTTATATAGTCAGATTGATTTTTCACTAGGTAAAAAAGTCTGTACTTCCACACAGATATCAGCATTCCACGATCTATTAAGTCACCTCACAATATGTTTACACTTTTGTATATGAATAAGAATGAATAACTGAGCTATACATTTGTGGGCGATTGAATTACCTTATTAAATAGCTTCAAATCATTTGGAATCTGTCACGTATAAATAGAGTTGACACTCAAATAACAACAATGAAAAGTGCTAACAATCCAATTTTCTTTCTGTATTTTCAAATAATCAGTTTTTACTTTGAATATACATCAGTAATCCTTGATTCATTTTGAGTAGTATAATTGCCATGAGATCATGCGAATTATTCCTCTAATAAACGTGGTGTTTTCTATTATCATGTTATATTTAATTTCACTATTGCATAATAAAGATAATAATTACTATATTAAACTGCTCGAGTTCCGTATGGTTCATTCTTTTCAAATAAACTTTATTGTCTTATTAATTTATCCAGGTCATTAATCTATTCAAATACTAACTTGGGTTAAATGAACTTATTTTCAAAATAATACAATTGGGATATACTAAGGATTTAATAGTTGAATTAATCAGTCAAATAAAGTAGACAACCATGGAAAACCTGGAAGCATTGGAGGGCTGTTTCGTCCTAGTATGGGACTCCTCAGCGGTGCTCGTCCACCTATCAGTCCATTTAAACACTAGACCACCGAGCCGGCATTCAACGGTGTCAATGTCTAACTTCAACTAATCCACGAGATTGAGGGGCACATCCACCATTGTCTTTAGTGAGTTACTATCTTACAACAGGCCTGGTTGAACTCCACTGGTCACTGCTTCTCACTAGAACTCCAGGAAATACCTCTTGGAGACGGTCATTAGTGAGCATATGGTGACTATTATCAGAGGGAGGTTTTGTGGATATTATGGTGGACGGTGGCGCTATTTCGTGGATTGTTTGAAGTTAGGCATTAACACCGTTTGATGCCAGCTCAGTAGTCTGGATGTTAGGCGTTCACGCGCGAGACCGATAGGTCCTGGGTTCGGATCTCGCGGAACAGGATCATGGATGCGGACTTCTGAGGATTCCTATACTAGGACGAAACGTCCGTCCGGTGCTTCCAGGTTTTCAATGATGGTCTAGCTTCAACTAACTCGTGAATTCAAATGTTAGGTTACTGTAATATTCACAAAACTGCTCACTGAATACAAAGGATTATTTCTTCTGTATATTTCCAAGTGATTAGCGTTTTACATAAAAAGCTTATTTAATAATCAATTTCATCAGAGAAAAATTTAGAATGTTATTAGAATTACGATTTGCGAATATTGTTAAGTGATGTATTTTATATCATAAATTAGCTTTAGTTAGATAACCAGTGAAAATTAG